GAAAAATAGATGTATAAGCTTGTATAAGTATTAGTATATTTTAATTTCATCACAATGATGCAATAATATGTCATTTTATGATACATACCTATTAAAGAAATAATGTTAATTGTTGCATTATAATATTTTTACGAGTATACTCGTCTGACGTTTCTAGAAATTTAATGCCCGTATATTTATAGTCAGACTTTATGTTTAAGACTTCCTTAAATCTATCTTTAGATGCTCAGTAGTCAATAAAATAATTCGTAGAACATCTGAAAATAAAAGGAAACCTTACATATAAGGTCCGAATACGGATATAATTATAATTTATAAGCAAATTATAGATTTCATAATATCAATATTTTTTCACACATAATAGTTATTGCGATAAGATCCTCGAAAGTAAAATGTGAGCTTAGAAAAGTTGGTATCTACGTACATCTATGTATTTATTCGCAATTCGCAGTTTTATGGGAAGACTGTCAGTTGGCGAAACCATCCGCTGCTTGTACTGAACGATTTGACAAACAGCCTAATAGAAACAAAAGGACGAACATATGTGAGAGTCACAAAATATCGAATCTCTGTGTATAAATTGCGTTTACGAGTCAAACTCTTCGTCCCCTTTCCTTGTAGGCTCCTGTTTCCCGTTCGCATCAACGGTAACATAGCTGCATTTGACATTTTCATTCCGCGCCTTACGAAGGACGTTTGAAATATCGTTTATACGCACCGGTATCCGGCATCGTAGCCGGATTAACGACTGCAACAAGTCGTTAAGTTGTGCATTGTAAAGCACCAATATTAGATGAAAATCGAATCGCGCGCGAGCCACAATGAAATCAGCCGTTCGTTACGCACGATCAGTTTACGCGAATGTCTATGTAGCTTCCGCAGCCGATTCGCTGTATTATTTTGTTTTGTCTTACATCATATTTATTTACTGAATACACTGGTTGAAACATAAACGTCACAATTGATATAATAAACTTTTATATGGGAGTAAACTTCTTTTTTTCGTCAGTACGTATATTGCACATACAATGTGGTACATTGTACAAAAAGTCTGATTGCATATTAATTGAAATTCTGGTTGAAAATAGACAAATCAGAATTTTTTGGCTGAATCCATTACAATTCTAGTTGAGATAATCAGAATTTTGATTGGTGTGATCACAATCTTCTGGTTCGTTCATTTTCAACAAGAAATTTTTTTTCAGTGTATTTAAAAAAACATAATCGTAATTTATCTTTTATAAAAAGTGAAAAAATTAATAGATAAAAGTGTAATAACTGAGAAAAATATTAAAAGAAAAACTTATACGTTCGAAAATTGAAGTTCGTTCTGTCTCTCCGTCATCTGTCTACCAATATTATCGTCGCACACTCAACGTATTGCGATTTAAAATTCGCTGCAGAGCTAGTCGCACGAATTCGGTGATAAAAGTCGAAATATATATCAGTGAAAGATGATTAGACTCTTATTATTAATCTAGACGAAGGGCGCGAAATAACGTGAAGACTTTGCTCGAGGCCCAGGATCTCTCCTTTCGCCTCGTTAGACACCTTATTTTATATTTCGAAATGTACGTACACATGTACATATACACGTATACATGTGTACGTATGTAATATTCTGAAGTGACGTGAGCTGAGTTCATCGTCACCGTAATACATTTTAATAGCTCATTCGCACACTCGTCAGATATGTAAAAAGAATTTAATTTCTACCCGACGAGAAAGCACACGAGTATTCGGAATTGAGCTTCGTCGGAGTAATTACGAGAGGCGACACATTTAATAGCATTAATACAATTTAAGAGTATTATATGGATCCTATTTCTTTAAATAAGATTTATATGCTCTAAATTTTCAAACAAGATTTCTTTAAATTGACATTATATCAACGACGTTATTACAACAGTCATATACGTGTTTCTAGAATTGTATACACTGTTAAAAATTTCATGAAATTTAATACACTTTTAATTTACACAATTTGAACTTAATTTTATGACATTACATAAAATTTAATGTATTTTTCATAAATTTAATGTACACGTTCATTACATTTAAGTAACTACTGTAACTTAATTTTCAGTTAAATCATTAAATTACTTTTAATTTCATTCATAACCAAGAGCTTCATTTACATGTAAAGGAAACTTGTGGTCACATTTCTAACAGTGTACTCTCTAAATTCTTTGGAATCACATTCTAAAAATTAAAAATTGAGTCTTTAAAAAGTCTTTAAAAAAAGTAGCTCAATTTTCAATCTTTAAGAGTGAGATTTTACTTTAAGTTTTAGAGAGTATATATATTACGTGGCTCAAAAATTTTTAATTGCGTTAGATTACTTAAAATGAGTAACCGAGACTATAATATCGAAGTTTTTTTTTTCAGAGTAACAAATGAAATTATTATATTTTGCATTTCATAAATTGCTTAAAATATAAAAATTGAATTTCAAGAATTCTAGCGGGATTCCAATCGATAATACGCGTACATATATATCTATTCGTATATGCGTGAAACTCTCGGGATGTATTAGACCGCCAAATCGTTTACGATTTCTCGATGCAGTATACGGCAATACACGTGCGCACCGGTGGCACGCGTGACACGCATCTCATTGCGGATAGGTCACAGAGTTGATCGTAAGAGCTTAAACGCGCGTGGTTGGGATAACGTTTGCAGCGAGGCCGCATATCGGCAGGTGTACACGCGCACGTATACGATAGAGCGAACATGTAGACACACTCGAGAGACGAAGGCAGACGCGGTAATGGTCCACGCAGCTCAGAATTCTCTCAAGTTCTACATGCGATGCGTTATGGCATAGCCCTGTGCACCATCGGCACTGTTACAACGCGGTTAGAATAGTCGGTTGTTAACGATGATGCACGTGCACACGATGCACCTCGCGCAACACGTCGCGATATATATATATATATATATGTATGCCAAGAGATCGCATATCTGGGAATGATACGACACGTTTTCACGGCGAAATCTCGGTCATGATTTATCGAAACGAATGCTTCGATCGATAATGGCGAGTAATTTTATGACACGCAATCATAACGTTTGCTCTATCGTGTACAAGGAAAAAAATGGTTTAGCTGAAATATCTAAAATTCAACTATAAATCCAGATTTGAAAATAGAATTTTATTGAACTATTAATAGAATTATACAGGACACTGAAGTTGATAACTAGAATATTACAATTTTTTTGCAACATCGCTCATCATGCTTTTGAGTTTGTAAAATTATTTTAATAATTCAACAAAATTATTTCCTGTGTATATCTAGCTGAATTTTTAAATATTTCAGTAAAATTGTTCTTTGCGTGTAAAAACACCGAAATTTACTATATTATCATTTTAACAACAAATGTTAAATTTAAAAAAATTACAAACTGTTAAATATCGAGTTTTGCTGTTTTTTCTGCGATACAATGTTTTCGCATGTTATATTTTTCTCTCATAATTATACCAGTTTTAACTCACTTCTTAAACCATGCCGGATTATCATTCATTGTGGAGAATTTCGCACAAATGGATGGGTACGTTTATCAAAGTACGATAATGCGAAATCTCGCCGCGGAAGTATGAATTTAATCAAGAGATTAGATTCAGTTTTCCCAAGCCTTGGCATGCCTCGGCGTGAATGAGTTATGGCATTCTGTGGTGCTATCGATGCTGTTAGCGCGGTTAACCTGTTGGTTGTTAACGATGATACACGCCACATTCAATGTATGTATGCCTCCGCTTGGTGCCGCAGTCAGCCTGTCTGTGCGATACGATATACGATTGGATCTACGAGGAACGAGTTCGTCTTAAGAAAAATTATCAGTGTACGGCGATTTTTCGCATATCGAAACGACTTTATCATTGGCGCGCACACATACCTCACAAGTAATGGAATGTCCGATTGAACGTTTAATGAAATATCTCGAATACGATTCAAGTACAGTAATAGCATTGAGTTGTATAAATCGCTATATGATAGACATTCTTGAAAAAGATACAAAAAAAGATAATCCATTCATATAATTTATAGCATTAAATATTCGAGATTAAGTCATTAATTAGATTTCTTTCTTGATGGAAACCTTTCATATCTTAAGACAAAAAAATATTTAGGCCATACCGAATATTAAATCCGATGCTTGATAATTTACGACGTATTGGATATGTTCGATATTCAAGAATCATTTATTATTTTCAGACTCTAATATTTTTGCAACAAATAGAAAGTAAGGTAGAGAAAATTGCGATCGAATTATAACGAGAAAGCTTGATAATTCGATAATTTATGTAACATATTAATATGTATTCTCACGCACGTTGAGGTACTTCAATATTTATTCGCACTTTGTTAAATTATTATCTCCAATGCTTTAATGTAAAAGCAAAGATTGATGTAAAAGAAAAGATTACTGTCCCAAGGAACACATAAAAGTCGATAAAAAATTAAAATGACATCAAAATGATTTTATTTTGATTATTAAAGCAGTCAAATTTTGTAACAAAAAAAATCATCATTCTGACATGAAAGTACGTCATTTTGACTTTCTCTTGACTTGGAGTGTTCCTTGAGATGTTCGATAAAACAAAATTTCAGTAAATTTGAAGCAAAGTTATGAACTTACGCTTTTTTTTCATCTAAAAAGATAATTTTTAATTGTCTTTTCAAAGAATATCAATTTACCATTTTATTAATATGATAAACGTGTAATATTAATATTATTCGCTGACGTAAAAAACATTCTATACATTGACGATTAATAAATTTGTCGAGTAACTTTGAGATTTTATTTATTAAAAAATTAAAAGTGGCTTTGAGTCAATCCTATCCCGCTAAAAGCAACCCTTGAGATACGCAATGGATACCAGTGACTCCAGCTCTGCGACGATCAGAACTATCACTAGTACTCTGTTTTCAGAGTTTGCTACGAGATGGCAGCACCGCCTTGATAGAAACTGTTGATCAGCTGCTGTTAGAAGGTAGTGGGAGAAGCAGTGTAGCGCAGATGCGCGTGAACGATCGAACGTATAGTATCTCGAGACGCTTGGTGTCTCTCACAGTTTGGTGCTAGGAAGTCCTGCGTACAAACTACTGGTGTCTCTTAAAACGTTTGAGTGAAACGTCATTCTCCGGAGACTCGTCCAGCTTTCATTCAGCCGGATATGAGACAATTCCCGACCAGGTAAACTATTGATCTAATCGTGTTGCGCCGGCCATGTTAGCACGAGCGCTGTTGGCGGACGTAGTACGCGTAACCGGTGTAACATCATTCACTAAACGAGTTTGGAAATGAATAATGCGCCCAATTGCATGTCCGATATTAACGTTTAATCGACAGAAATTAAATTTTTGGAACAATCACTAATATTGAATCACTAATTACATTCAGAGTAACTTTTTGCTATGTACACATAGAATCTTACTGTTTAAATTCTTTGAATTGAAACTCACTCCAAGACCTAGTCTACAACCAGTCTGGAGACGTTTTCGTATGTCGTGCCGATAAAAAATTGGCCAATCACAGTTGAATATGAAAAAGACAATCGATCATGATTGGTTAATTTCTTACGGCACGACATACGACAACGTCTCCCGATTGATTGTAGACTAGACCTAAGGAATGACAATCGAGTCACCTTTGAAAACGAATGGCTCAATTTTCAATTTTCTTTAAGATTGAAATGAGTCTTCAGAGCGAGATTCATTCTAAAAGTTTTAGAGAGTAGAGGAATATTGTTTTGTTCATCGAATAATAAAAAAGGTAAAATAATACATCATGTGCATCATAGCGTGAAACGGAATGCATTCTTAGAATAAAGCGTATCGTCTGTGTAAGAAATAAAAGTTCGAGACCGATAACTTTTAACCTAAAATTTTTTTTTAAATATTTATTTTGTGAAAATTTTGTAAATATGTTTCCAATGTCAAACATGTTAATCCCTTCATTCTCGTAGGGTGTTCAGAACATTCCGGCCTTTAAATTCGCAAAATATATGAATGCTATTTATATACATTGTTATATTCAGTGCAAATGTTCACAATTTAAAAAATTCTTTTGCATTTATTTTTATCTAAAGGATTTATGTTATTACCTAAAGAATATTATTAATTTTATTTAATTGTAAATCATAAAAGAGAACAGTGAAGATTGAAATATAATGTATGTCAGAAATACCTCCTCACGCGAGTAATTACGTTAATAAAAATCACGCGAGTAATGTAAAATTAAATGATTTTCCAAATTCATGCTTTTAATTTTTAATTAACTGTAAATCAATAGAAAAGTGCGTTAATGGAATATTTCTAAAACGAGCGTTTTATACTTTTTCATTACAGGGAAACGATCGATAGAATATTCCGTTAAGTTATTATTTATTTAACACACGACCTCCTGAAATTATCATATCCTTCCTCATAATGCCGTTCACGGCGGACGCGGCGGCGACTCAGATACAGGAGCGCCTAAAGAACATTTACAATCTCGTGCACGAGATTGAGAATCAACGAGTCCGCTCCGAGCACAACCTAAACAATATCATGAAGACTCATGAGAAAGTCACACCCGACGACAAAGTCTCTCCTTACTATCAGCAAAAGTTAAAAAATTTGTACAATGCCGCGGTGACTGATACCCAGCAGGAAGAAGAGATCCTGCGCAAGGCTCTTGCTAAGATTAACGAGATACGCACGATACGGAACGAACGACGCATACAAGCACGTCAAGCCGGCAATAAGGAGACTATCAGACGCGGGGCACTGATGAAGATGCTGCTGAGCACCGCGCAGACCCTACCCCTCTACGTGGGAAAGACACCGGGCGCCAAACCACCACCACTGTGCGGCGCGATACCCGCCGAGCCTACCTACATTGCGAAGATGGGCGACATGGTAGCCGCATTAGTGAAAGGCAACGAAGAAGGAGAGAACTGGATACTCGCGGAGGTCGTGCAATTTAATGCTGCGACAAATAAATACGAGGTGGACGATATTGACGAGGAGCAAAAGGACCGCCACACGTTGTCACGGAGACGAGTGGTACCACTGCCACTGATGAGGGCCAATCCTGAGACCGATCCGCACGCCTTATTCCCGAAAGGATCCACAGTAATGGCGCTCTACCCGCAAACTACTTGCTTTTACAAGGCGGTCGTGCAACGTCAACCAAGTACCGCCACGGAAGAGTACCTGATCCTGTTCGAGGACGCTGCTTACGAGACCGGCTATTCACCTCCATTGAGTATAGCGCAGCGTTATGTGATTTCCATCAAAGAGAGCAAAAAAAATAAGAGTCAATGTTAGTAAGCAATACCATTTTTCCAAATTTTTTTTAAATTTTTTATTAAATGAATTTCGTTAAATTTTCTGATCAATTTGTCAAGTCCTCTGATCAATAGAAAATTTTGAGGTAACCATCTATTTTTTATAATCAATAGAAAAAAAGCATACGCAACCAGCAGACAACGTGCAACTGCGATAGCTAAGCCTCTTGGTTATACATATATCAATATGCATGTATATAATATCTGTGACATCGACTAATCCCATAAATTCCATTACAGCCTCCAGGAAGAAACAATATATATGAAAGAAATATTTCTAGAAAAGGTGCACTTGGTTCATCTACGTTAGCTTATGTTATTTTTTATAATATTCCACTTGTGATATTGTCATAAGATACAATAAATGGCAAATTTTTATATAATTCGTTCCTTTTCAATACTTTTCCCTGTTCCAATCCGCTTTATAAATTAGATTTACAAATTGCACATGAATTCCAATATATTTTAATTACGATAATTTAAATGCGATAATTGTATAAATAAAGATATTGAAAAAAGATAACCATTTTGATTTTGTAAATAGCGAAATATTTTTTTATGACGGTAATGTAATTATATTTGCAAAGGGTTTATCAAAATTGCACGTTTATCTCATTGAAATTAATTTCGAGTGTTATAACTGGGAGAAATAAGCACATACTAACAATTAAGGTTCTATTTCCGCGATACTACTCATCGGCGAGGGTAATTGACGTAGATTATGGGACGGTAATAGCGGTATCCTTATGTACACGGGTGGACCCGACCACGGACTCTGCTGACCTTCCGCGAAATCGGTTCTCCGTGATTCTGTGTCCGTATAATTTCTTCCTATATGGAATAAATCTTTCCCTTCGCATCCTTCACGAAGCGAAATAGAGATAGAAAGAGCGAGCGCGAGAGAGAGAAAGAGAGAGAGGGAAAATGGAATATAGAGGGAAGATAAAGAGAGCAGAAAGCGAGCGAAAGCCCGAAGCCGCGAGTGCGCAAGTGGATTGAAAAGGCTAGAGAGGACGAAAGAGGGAGCACTGCGCAATAATTGATTCCATAATCGGCGGCTGCCGCCAGACATCAAAGCAACTCGGTATACCGAACCGAACCCCCAGCAGACCGGCTCAGCTAGCCAATCCTCATTCATTATTTAACTTAACTACCCCAATATGGAATCACAAAAAAGTACTTTGATTTGGCGCGCGTTGCGGACACGGTGTTTTCACCATTTTCCTCGAAATTAATCCTGAAAATTTTTCATTGATTTCTGACTGCCGTTCGGGTAAAGCTTACTCGTATCAGGAGGGATTTTTAATTGAAACGCGAGGCTGGATCTGTCACGTGAATGAAATATTGTGCGTGATAATTAAGGAACAGAGAAAACACGCGTGTTTTTGAATAGCTTTTTGAAGCACGTTCATTCAAAAGAAAGGTTGAGTCACGTGTAGAAACATATTTTTTTATGTAACAAATTAAAATACGTATATTTTCTCTCTTAATTTCAAATGAGACATAAAATATGTTTTAAATGATGCATAATTTCTGTCAGACTGTAGAATAGAATTATATTTCTAATTTTATGCTAAAATATACACGTACTAAAAAATACACGTACATTAAAACACAAATATATTAAAATGCAGTATATATAAAATTATAAACAGAATCTATAAATTCTATAAATTTAATTATAGATCATCTAAAGTGGGCTTAAGATGGAGTTATTATTCGGCAATATCTCAAAGCAATTATCTATTATCTTTAGCACAACTCGTAATAATAGAAATTATCTAACCTGCATGTAATGGCTTTTATATACCTTCCCGCGAAAGTTGTAACGACCGATTGTATCTAGTCTACAGTAGTTTCCCTAACCACATCAGAGTTCACCTCCGAGCCCCAGGGTCGGTCAGGTCACATGAATTTAGCAAAACGCATGACCTCGAACCTTTTATCCACATATTCGCGCTAAACCGCAATCGAAATCGCGTTTGCATGCATGCGCTCTGTCTAGCATTTCCGGCGGCCATTAGTCGCACTCGATAGTCCGATATCTTTCCATTTCCAGATAGTAAAGCGCTGGCATGTCGGTAGAAGCCATTCTCAGTTCTGGAATTAATTCAACCGGCGATTAGCTTCCGCGTTGAGGTTGAGTTCTAGCCAAAACGGCTTTCGTGCGTTCGATCGTAAATGCCCAAGAAAGAGAGAGAGAGAGAGAGAGAGTGTGTGTGTGTGTGTGTATGGGTGTGTGTATTTCATGTACATCTATGTGCTTTGACTGACTACATCTGAACCGCGGGCGGGCGTGCGGCGTATTCGTATGGCGGGCCTAATACAAGTGGACTTGTAGCATGCGAACAACCGGAAGCCAAGGCGAACTTGCGTCCGAACACGCAAACCGTACTTTCCAACCCTTGGTCCCCGCGAGAGCGGGCACTCCCCGTCGCTTCGTCTGACCTCCTACGACTCGTTCCTACCCGTTCTGAAGTTCCCTTCGTTCATTCGTTCCACGTCTCAGTTATCTGAGTAATACTTCTCCTCTGGCTTCACCTTTCTCTGCCTCTCGTTGCCCTGCCCCTTTTACTTCTATCTCGTTCTTATTCTCTCCCTATCTCATTTTCTCCCTGTATCCCACTGCTGACCCCCTTCCCTTCTCTTTTTCTCCTTTTCGTGCAAGCTGATCAGAGCAGGTTCACTTAACCCTCCGGTAATGGCGCGCTGTATTTTTCTTCGGCGCTCGTAATTACGCCCGTGCTCTCGCGAGCATATTTTATTTCGTTCCAGATCGATCGGTTCCGACACTGGTATCTGTCATTGCCCTTCCTCGCCCCGTCTCCTCGTACTGTCTTTCTATCTTTCTTTCCCTCTATTTCCCTTTTTCTCTTCATCCCGCCGCGGATTTCACCAAGCATCACCCTCCGGCAACCATTAGTCTTTCTTTCGATAAATTGGCAGACCGGAGTGATTGCGAGGTGTCACCTCGACACCCTCACCTGTCTGTAACACACATTTGCTAGTAATTTGAGCACGGTATAGTCTCCCTTATTCGCGCTTGATTAGAGCCATATCGACAACAATTTGATAAGATCGTGTATGTTGCTTCTCACGGTTGTCGACGGTTATATTGAATACAGCCACGTACTCTCAATTATTTCTAGCACGCGTATCTGACTCTAGACAATCATTCAGAATACTCTATCGCTCGGATTCAAAACGTCTACCATATTTTTCCTGGCGAACCATAATTTATATGCTTTCGATTATGAAAGAGGTATGAAAAGATAAACTATAGCTAACCCATTGAGACTTCGCTAGCTTCGTTTAAGTAGTATTCCAAAGTTCATTGAATTATTGATACCCGAGTAAATTGAAAATCGATAAGCGATCCAGTGTAATTTAACTTCGAGGCCATTTCTGGACAAAGAAGAGAGAGAAAGAGAGAGAAGGAGGGGGGGGAGAAGAAGTACGAGAGAGGATATGGAACTTGGGATTACAGAACTCCTCGTGTGTTGGACGGGCACCGGATTTTCATTTTTTAATTAATACGCCGTGCACAATGGTATCCAGGAGAAACGATCGATAAGGTCGGCTAACGAGCTGCCAACTTCTAATCCAACTTTACCTCGAAAACTGTCGGAACTCTTATACGACGTGGTAATGAGTTCTGGCCGTTGAACGAAAGAAAAGTCACGATGTTAATAGCTTCTGCCTTTGAGTCTCCGGACAAAAAATTGCGCCATGTAGGAACGGAGGGCGGTGGTGGAATCCGGATGGCAGAAGCGTTTCTCGTTAGCCACCTCCGGACACGTCCCGTTGCGGATTATGTTTAGCCTCGTTTAGCTGCGCGGCCAGGTCGAGAAGATAAAGCTCTTCGGAACGATCATGAGTACCGATTCGATCCGAAACCTATTGAATTTCGTGGAGTTCAATTTCTTCCTCAAGACCGCAATGCAATGTTCCGCGCGGCGCGTGCCACATTCTCTCATCGATATCGCGAGACACTTTAAACGAAACGATAGCAAATCGTAACGTACCATGTAGTCGGTATAGTGCCACGTACTTTTAAAGTACCGCATTAAGTCTCTCCGAGCGCACTGCGCGCTCACAAGTCGAACGCGACTATATCGCGGGGGAAATCACGTCGTCGCGAAAATCGCGAAATAAAGTTCTTGATATAATTATGAACAAATTTGGAACTCGCGCTGCATATTACGTTTCAGTTTGCTGTAATAACATTTCCGAAATAATGCATTTATATCGCGACGGCGGAACTCGTGCATTAGGAATTGCAATAAGAGCTGAAAATGACAGAAAGTTTAATTTTAAAAAATGTATTAACAGTTTAACTCGGAAATATAGTTATCTAGGATATTTTTACATTCCAGCGGCGAAAAATATCAATCATTATAAAACTGTTTTATATGGATGTTGTTTAAATATATTCTCTTTCTCTTTTTAATAATTATTTTTGCAGAAACTTTAAATGTGCAATTATATCAAAAACCTGCAATAAGAAAATATCATATTAATATTAAATATTTTTAAATTAATGTTGAATATATATTAATTGTTATAATAATATTAAATGTTATTAAATTAATATTAAATGCTCATTAATATTAAATGTTATATTAATAATAAAAAATGTTATAATAAACTTTATTTTTTTTAGAAATACTTTCGTTATAAGCTTATATTTAACTTATACATGATTATTCCATTTAATATTTATTTGGTTTCTGCTGCTTACTTTTTTTCAAAAAATTGTGATTAAATCCATATTCATAATGTTCTCAAATAAATACTAATAAATCAGGAAACAAACCATAATATATAAAATATGTTGCTATAATATAGTGATATAATTAGGATAAAAACACCCCAAGTCATCGTATTAACGTAAAAATCGTATTAACATAAAAAATCTATTACGATAACTATTCCGAGTTAATAATGCGAACGTATTTAACAATAATCATGTCTCGCTACCATGAACTACTTTGCATTTTCCCACCCCATTAAAAATATGCCTGACTTTGTCGCAGACAGATCACTAATAGTAGCTCTGTGCGTAATGACGCATACTGAAATTATCAATTCAAGTATTAGTACGCGGAATACAGACACGACTACCACGCGACGTAATGTCTTGCCATAAGAGGCTTGCAACATTATCCAGCTGTCAATGCCAGAAACGGGGCTTTCTTACGGAGTCGACAGCGTTCACGACGGCAGCAATTTGTTACGTTTTTCGCCAACTAAACGCATTAGAAGGCAAGAGGGAGAGACAGACGCATTAACCGAAACGGATTTTCGCTTAC